TAATTTTCAGACTATGTTGCTATTGGGCCAAGATTTTCAAACACTGTTCTTCAAGCTCTACTTGTGTTGCTCAAGAAAAAGCTAAGAAAGGTTTGTAAACCTACTATGCTCACATCCTTCCAGGTTTATCTTCTCGTTAGGTTGTCGACGATCACGACGAAAATGCCGATGACGACGGAGATAGCAACGATGTCCCTACGATAATTTTCGTATAGTTTTCGGATAATTTCGTGATAGCGAGGATAACAGCGATGGTGGTGATACACTGCGCCGTCAGCGGTTATTGACAACCACGATATGAACACTTGCCGTGAAAATGATGACGAGAAAGACGCGGCAATGAGAAGTTTATGACATTTTGATAAGAATTTGCCAAATTTAGACCGCTTTAAATAAGAGCAGCAGCAATTACAAATAACGCCTTTTTTACTTCTTTTTCTGTCAGGGTCGTAAATTGATTGCGATCGGAACAACCAGCTGCCGAGATGTATTGGAAACCATGGGCATCGTGGAAGCCTTTAATACTGTAATTCATGTACCCTCAATCTGGTCCGCAGACCAACTCAAACAAGTGCTACAGGTTTGTTTAAATTAATTACAAAATACAGGGAGTAGGTTTGAAAAGAAACTGTGATGCTACGTCGGTGAGGGGTATTGGAATAAAGAAGTTACTCATGATGGCGGAAATGGCAGTTCAGGTACAGTTGCCCCTTTCGTATCATCATTCAGATTTGTGGTGTTTGTTTAAAGTAATCTGAAGTCACTTTGTTTTAACTCTACTTCGCTACTTGATTGGTCCAGAAAACTCGCGCCACCCTATCGACCAATCAGATGCAAAACTAAATTCAATCACGACCTGGTCGCCTGCGTTTTCCCGCGCTTTGGCAGTTTGGTCGGTTTTACTTTCAGTTCTCTTTGGCTCTTGCTTTGGCTTTGGTTTTACGACACGTAATCGAAAAGCGCTCCAACAGCATATAGAGTAGTTTCAAAAATAAGCTTAAGAGAGTTTTAAAAAATTATTGTTCTGTTAGGAAATTATGACTGGAATATCGGGAACTGCTTTGGTTGTGATTCACTTCGCCCTGAAATCGGTCTAAAAACCTTGTACGCCCTAGCATCAGTTTTCATAATCTCTGTACTATTCTCTATAAGTTTCCTGAGGTTCTGACAAGGAGAATTTGTTTAACAATCAAGAACTTCTTTAGTTCTTGATCATTTCCTTTATTCTCGTGACCTTGATGTGTGATTCAGGGGTGACTTTGAAAGGAGAAATTAGAAGCTGGTCACTCTAAGGGTTTAAACTAGTGAAATTTAAAACTAATGGTAATCGTAACCAGTTCACTCGTGTTTTTTCGCGTCTGAGTTTGGACAGATGTTTTGTTATTTTGTTTTGATTGGCCAGGATGTTGAAGGTTAATTTGGTAGAGCGTAAATACTCTTGTACTCTTATACTGTAACACAGATACAGATAGCTTAATTTTTTTTTCTTTGTTTCTTCTTTTAGACTGTCAAGCGGGACCGAGTTAATAAATTTGTATGTCTTCTGGAAGACGAAAACTGGCGAGTACTGATTCGCTAAATCTAGCGTATGCCAGCTTTGTTTTAATGGTAGCGTTTGAGGTTTCTTCTGGAATAAATTGGGCTATATATGCAAAGAATGTCTTTTCACAATTGGACTTTTCAAGCACTTTCAAAGTTAGTTGTCTTTATCAAGGCGTGGTCGTTCGTTTTTCATAGCAAGCGAGGCAGTAGATTCAAAGTCTGAGAAAGTATCAACTGTAAAAGTGAATTTATTAAATTACTTGTGTTTACTATGGGCAAAGAAAAAAGACAAACATTATGTCTAGACATAATGTTTTTTATGTCGGGGCATGTTTATATGATAACCCGTTGGGAGGTTTGTACCAGGTACGAACAGTAACCAATCGGTAGTAAGGGCGAAGTTTGCTATGTTAAAACCAGGAGAAATTCCTTGATTCGCCCTTCTATCCCTCGCCATTCGAACGTCAAGTGCTCAAGAAATCTTTTCCCTCTCTTCGATAACACAGTCCAAAGTTTCAGGCAAGTTGAAAATTTCTGTATTCTCTATCTTGCTATTATTTTGTTGGTGTCCAATTTAATTGAATATTTCAAACCTCACATTTAACATATCCTGTGCATAGCACCAACACGTGTACTTATCCTCGGTCACTCCTTTATCCATCGTTTGTTTAGTTTTCTTGTTGCTCATTTAGGTCGCGATTTCCTTGAGAATTTTAACTTGGGCGACGACCTTATTTTCAAATGGCACGGGATAGGGGGAAGGACAGTTGCAAAAACTAGGCAACTTGACCTCGGAGTCGTAAGATCATTTGCTCCCGATCTTGCCATTTTGCAGCTTGGCATGAACGACCTAACGGCGTTATCTGCCGTAGAAACGGGGTCCGCTATAGAGGATCTCGTTCGTTTGTTATACGATTCTTATAACGTTAAAAGAATTTGTGTTTGCCAAACCATTTATCGCGAGAACGCGCCTCTGTTTAATAACAAAACAAACACTTTATCCAAATACCTTAGAGTGGTTTTGGAACCTATTCCATATGCTTGTTACTGGAAACACAGGGGTTTTTGGAACAGCAAATCTCGTTTCCTTCACCGTGATGGTGTCCACCTTAATAATTTAGGTCATTTTAAACTCTACCGCAGTTTGAGGGGAGCCATTTTAGGATGCTGGAGAGCTTTATCGGAAGCTTCGTGATCTGCCAGTTATTGTGTAAGCTTCTACAGCAGGACAATGCATTTTTTAAATGTTTTATCGGCGGTTTCTTACCCCGCATTTTATTTGAGAAGCAGCGTATTTCTTTCGATGTTTATTGCCAGTTCACATTTTTTGTTTTGAACCAGGCCTATGTCATATATGTTTTTGCCTTGCCTCTTATGTTATTTTTGGGAAGTTTTTCCCCTTGGTAGGCTTGTTTTTGTTGGTCCAGTGGACCACATATGTTATTTACGATCTTGGTATCGTTTTGGCCTTGGTATTTCTTTTACGCTGTGCTTTCACTTTACCATTTGAGTGTTCAACCCTTTCTGATCATCCCCTAATTTAGGGGAAAGTGTCCAATGCACTCGGTACTGTGATAAGGCGTTAGCTTGTTGTTCTGTATTGTGCAGTTTCAGCACACTTGTTTGTTGAACTTGGCGTTTTTTGTGGCTACCTGCTCTCTCACTTTTTTGATTTGCTATGATCTTTTTAATTCATGTATGTACAACATCCATACTTGTAATGGTTTACAACTGATACCTTTGCTATTCGTCTGAACACAGCCGGATTTCCATATCTCATCCTCGCGTCTTAAGCGTGGCCCCTCTCAGGCTATCGGTTTTTCACCAGACAACAATAGACAATAGAGTTGTCAGCACTGTCTGTAGCTATGTGCTTTATTAATTTTTGCCATAACACGGTAGATTTCGAGATTTTTTCTTATTGTCTTATGCTCCCATTTTTGTACATTCCCTTTGTAAGTTATGCCTCCTAGAAAACGTTCTGCCGTTGTGAATGACCGTCCTAAACGGGCCAAACGAACAAAGAAAACCAGCCCATCCGAGATAAGTGAAGTAACACCTCCACTTCCAGCTATGAGTTCCACAGCTAGCCATTCCCAGAATGTCAAGAACAGCTCCTTGGATGTCGGCGCTCTATCAAGCACCATTTCTGCCGCCGTTTCCGAAGCCCTTCAGGCTGCATTTCCTGAGGATAACATCGCTGCCATTTTAAAGAACAGTGTTCCTGACAGCTCCCATCCTGTCTCCCCTTCCGTGGACGACGAAGTGCGCGCCATCACCGGGGACAATAATTTCTCAGGTATCGGGGGCGTTCCTGCTAAAGCGGGTTTGGGTGAACCACAACCCCAGCAGATTTTTACTAGTATTGCGGTGGGTCTTCCCGCCCGGGTTAGTGCTAAACTTAAAGCCAAAATATGGGCAAACGAATATGTAGACTTTGGGGCATTGCTTTTTTCCTCCCCTCAAAATGAAGGCAAATATTCGTTATCTATGACGCCTTCTGCTGGGCCGCAACGCTCGCCACAGTTCACGCTCGAGCCCTCACAATCCAACAAAAGGATTTCTTCGATACATCAATGGGCTTCGGCATTTAATATTTTTGTCTCAGTCTATGCGGAGCGCTTCTCTAGCGAAACTCCAAGTTTAATGAAATATTGCGAAGTTGTACGAGATTTGGCTTATAAATCAGGCGATTGGTTTTGGTATGACGAATAATTTCGTTATATCAGACAATCGCACCCAGCACTTTACCCATGGGACCAAATACACTGGGAATTATGGCTAAGAGCTGCCAATAGTTTTCGTAGACCACAGTCGTTCACAAACAAATTTCAGACTAAAACTCGTCAACGAGTTCCAAAGGGAACTTGCTGGGCCTTTCAAGCCGGGAAGCATTGCTCTGGCTGCCAATATGACCACTCCTGCTTTAAATGTGGAGCAAAACACCTAGGCAGTCAATGTGCCATTCAAGCAATCACACTCCATTTCGGAGGTAAGGGTAAAGGAGGCCCGACTCAAGCACTGGGTTCTACACAGTCCCCTGGTTACCCCGGTAAAAGTGGATCGTCTTAAATTTTTTCTGCACGGCTATGACTCTGCGTTAGCTTCTTATCTTATTGACGGTTTTCGTTTTGGTTTTCGAGTTCATTTTTTTGGTGAACGGCTGTCTTACGAATCTCCTAATCTTAAAAGCGCTATAGATCAACCTGATTTAGTTAAAGCCAAGTTAAGTTGGGAATGCGCGGCTGGGAGAATTGTTGGTCCTTTTACAACCCCGCCCTTTCCTAATTTTCGTACATCCCCTTTAGGCATTGTACCCAAAAAAGATCCGTCCGAATGTCGTCTCATTCACCACTTATCTTACCCCGAGGGTGCTTCGGTCAACGACTTCATTCCTGACATTTACTCCACAGTGAAATATGCGTCTGTCGATTAAGCGATTAGGGCGGGGTTGTTTCATGGCCAAAACAGATGTTAAGTCTGCATTTCGCATAATTCCTATTCACCCTGCTGATTATTCCCTGTTAGGTTTGAAGTGGGAAAACTTGTATTATTTTGATAGGACTTTGCCGATGGGATTGAGTTCGAGCTGTGCTATATTTGAAGCTGTATCGACGGCACTTGAGTGGATTTCTATCCACCATCTCGGAGCTAAGTCCGTTTTACACATTTTAGACGATTTTCTCTTCATTGCGCCGACCAAAGACCAATGCACACGCGACTTGTCGAATTTTGTTTCTTTGTGCGAATATATTGGCGTTCCTCTCGCCCCCGAGAAAACAGTAGGTCCGGATTTAGTTTTGCAGTTTGCAGGAATAATTTTAGACTCCGTTCGCATGGAGGCGCGACTTCCAGACGATAAGCTGGCTAAATGTCGCCAGTTATTGACTGTTTTTCTCGCTCGTAGATTTGTTTGCTTAAAAGAGCTTCAATCACTCATAGGCTTACTCAATTTCACGTGTCTCGTCGTCGTACCCGGTCGGGCGTTTTTGCGTCGCTTAATCGATCTTACGAAAGGCGTTCGCAAGCCCCATCATCATATTCGTCTTTCAAAAGGCGCAAAGCTGGACATCGCAATTTGGCTTAGATTTTTAACAGATTTTAATGGCAAATCGTTTTTTCTTGATGACGCCTGGGAGACATCAGACACGCTTAAACTTTATACCGACTCAGCTGGTTCCATCGGGTTTGGAGCTGTGTTTGGCAATCGTTGGTTGCATGGTCTTTGGCCGGCCTCTTGGAAGACCTACAATATCGCTGTATTAGAGCTTTTTCCAATCGTCATTGCAATTCACATTTGGGGTTCATTGATGGTTGATAAGTGTGTATTGTTTTTTAGCGACAACGCCGCCGTTGTTGACATTATTAATAAGCAGACATCTAAGGACGCATCTATTATGGTTCTCCTCAGGGATTTAGTTTTAAGCTGCCTTACGCACAATATTCTGTTTCAAGCTCGCCATATTCCGGGGTTGATCAATTCTCGTGCCGACTATCTTTCACGTTTCTAGGTTGTGAAGTTCAAAGAATTATCACCGGAAGCAGACGACTTCCCCACTCCAGTTCCCGAGAACCTGATGCCGGAGAGTTGGTTTCTAATTTAAGAGGCCTCTTAGGGAGTGCATTGACAGATAGCTCCAGGCGTCAATATCAACGCGCTTGGGCTGTTTTCCGCCAATTTTATTGTCGTTTTTATGGGTCTGAAAATCCCATTTTACCTTTAGTTCCAAATTGTATTCCACTTTTCATTTCTTACCTCTCTTTTCGGAAGATGGCATACTCTACAATAAACTCCTACCTTTCGGCTATTTCTTATGTACACAAATTAAAGGGCTTACGTGACCCCACCAAATCTTTCTTAATTCAAAAGTTGTTGACAGCATTAAGTCGGCAACGAGCTGCAGACGTTCGTCTTCCCGTGACGAAGCCTGTGTTACATCAACTTGTTCGGTCTCTGGATTTCACCAACTCTTCGGCATGGCAACGTTCTCTTTTTGGGACAATATTTTTAGTCGCTTTCTATGGTCTATTTCGCATTGGCGAACTTGTCGTCAAGAGCACGCATTTGGGCTCATCAGTTGTTCAATATCACAGCTTGACCTTTTTGACTTGTAACGGCCTGCCCCATATTGCGAAAATTAGCATTTCTGAATACAAACACAACCCTTCCAAAAGGCCATTTAACATTTTGCTTGCTCGAAAAGACGTTCCTTCTCTCTGCCCAGTTACTGCTCTCTTGCAGTATACCAGGCTTGGCGGCGATCGGTTAGGTCCACTTTTCTGTAACGCTGATTTTTCGGCTGTGTCTTTACATCAATTCAACACAAAACTTCAGAGGTGTTTAACGTACTGTGGTCTCGATCTTAGCCGCTATAAAAGCCATAGTTTTCGCATTGGTGGCGCTTGTCATGCTGCCGACAATGGTTTTTCTGATGCCCAAATTCGTGCTCTTGGCCGCTGGAAATCGGATGCATTTAAAGTTTATTTACGTTCCGAAATTCTTACTACTAATTGATAGACCATTACAGTCTTGGGCGCCACTTCGTTCAGTCAAGGGCTGCGAAGTTGTTGTCATGCCGGTTTTTCAAGTGGCTGCTTTTTTGCAGGCTTTCTGCCGTTACATTAAATGTTTTAGTGTTTTTTGCCCACGTCTTCTTTATAACTTCAGGTAATTCATGTTACTTATCTCGATGAGTTGAATGCTTTCCAGGGGGTTCAGACAAGTGGCTGCCGTTTTTGGAATGCATTCTCTCTTTGATTTTAGCCGCATGGGACTGTTCAGACATGGGCTGCAGTCTTCATGGATTTTTGTGTAGAGTTGCTTTCCCTCCATTACGTGAGTTTTGCATTTTTATTCTTTCTTTCATTTGTATTTGTCGTGTCTGTTCGTTTTTGTGGGGCTTCAGCCACAGTTTGTGGCTTGTGGCGTTTTTTGTCGCCCCACGTTGACATTATCGGTTGATAAGTTCAGATATTCCGCTCTTTGTTATCACTTAGTTATAATTGATTTAATTAAAAAAAACTGCCACAGTTTGTGGCCAAATTGTTCCAAATCATCTGTTGTGTTTATTCTAGCATTTTCTTCACGTTGGGACATCTTTTTCGGGCAGAGCTCACGTAAAGGGACGTTTTTCTTCGAAACATGCATCGATATAAATGTCATTTTGCCCGACGAGACACTAACGTATCCTCCAAAATGTGATGATCTTCACATGTTTTAGTTCCAAGAAGCTGAAGTCAACCTTTTTTCTTGTTGCAGCCTAAGAGGCCCACAGCAAGACCATCAACAAAAATGAAACGACTGCAGGTTTGTTCAGTCATAGCTCTAGCTGGCTTTTAGCATGCATTATAGGCGTCTTACTCGGGCGAGTTAACGGTTCAAGCTAGCCGTTGTTAATCCAACCGGCCATGTTTGTTTCAGATTTTAAATGGACGGTGGGGGGAGGGGAGCTCTAAGGTGATTAATATGTCAAATTCTCTCCCCTCACCTTTCTTTGAGCGTCGCTCATCGCTGATAAAAATTTATGACCGCTTACTTTGATGAAAAGATCGGATTTGGAGTTGTCCATTTCGATTTTCAACGTTCATAAGAAAAGCCTTTTCTTATGTACGTTGAAAATCTCGAAATAAACCTGCCGGTTAAATGGTCTGAAATTTCATCAAAGTAAGCGGTCAGATAACAAGCGACATATTGTTAAGTACCGGTGCCTTTTTTTTTGAGAATTTGACGTATTTTTTATTCCTTAGAGCGGTCGTAAATATGCCCATACAAACTCTTATAATTCCGTCATGACTGTTATTGCGCAAGATGATCATCTCACAGCTGGAGCTTGGGCCGCCTGTGATCCAACCGGCCATGTTTGTTTCAGATTTTAAATGGAGGGTGGGGGGAGGGGAGAGCGGTGATTGCTACTGCTCCACTTCTCCCCTCACCTTTCTTTTGAGCGTCGCTCACCTCCCTGATAAAAATTTATTACTCTCCTGACTCTTCCGCTGCTGTAAACATCGGATATGGCGGCTCTGATTTTCACCAAGAAAATACTGAGTACCCTCTCACCAAAATCACGCCCGTCCTGCCGGTTAGCTGGTTGAAATTTCACTAACTAACCTCGACTAATATTGTTAATTACCGGTGCCTTACCTCTGTGAGACCCGAAGGTGATTTTTTTTCTCTTTTGATGTTACTCCTCTGTTTTGCAGATGCTTCTTGTTCCAAGCAATTCGAGAGTTGGTTCTGTTCCACACTGAGGATCGAATCCTGTGCATGTGTAACATTTGATTCAGGACAGTCAGCTACAGCAGTTGAATAGCTCTCGTAAAGCGTGCTCTTCGATTAAGTGTCTTACAACCAAGTAGTGATTGGTTGGAAAGGTTGGCGAAAATTTCCAAGGCCAATCCCAGGGCGGAGTAAAGCTAAAACGAACCAATCCCGAATTGCTTTTGTTACTTAATTGAAAATTACTCTATTATAACTGTTAGAAAGAGAAACAAGTTAAAATTCGATTACTACACAGGAAGTGACCAGCCATCGACGCATATACCAACAAATTCAAATACACATTACATATTTCTTGGAAAACACTTTGCGTTGTATTTTGAAATTTTGAAATCTCTTATATAAAATTAAGGAGAAAGTAAGTGAAGCATGCAACTACGTACGATTTGTAAAATGCACTTTTAGAGTAAGTCTCTCTATAATCCGTAATTTTCTGATTTTAATCAAAGCGAGGTATAATTTGAATATATTTGTGTGTCTGTGATAAATTTTACGGTGTTTACCTTGTCCTTACACTGAAGGAATGAAATCTCTTCTCATCACTTTTAATATATACGATCTTCAGAGTTGATAGCAAGTAAGATATGCGAAAATGAGAAAATTTATTAGGTTTAGTAGCCCTAGTGAGGGTGGAATCATAAACTCTAATAAGTTGCTAAAATTTATGCGAATGCTACAATAAATTCCTTTTGAAATGATATTTTAACGGTCTTATGTGCGCATCTTGCTGCGTTTTACAACTGAACGAGCCGACTCACCGAACATTTTATTGAGAATGTTCAGGCCGCTCTCGGAAAGTCGGAAAACCAAGAGAATACAAATATATTCTGTTGAGAGAACCATCTGAATTGCAGATTATTTCTAAAATTAGTATTAACATTTTCGATAATTCTCGCACGTGGAAAGAGCTTATGAACCAGAAGACATTTCAGCGTCTTCTCCAGCTTCTCCTAGGCCAAGAAATATGTCTTTTCAACGTTATTACCTTGGGTATAGTCAGTTCTGTCAAGACCGGCTTGAGTTTCATCGTGACTGCAGAATCGAGGGCCTTTAGGATGTCTCTCTGATGCTAAATTTCTTTCGTTTGAATATGTTTTGAAGAGATGTAGTGTTCTCGTTGTCGTTGTTGCTACTTGAAAGTTAAACTAAAGACATTCGCATGGAGTAAGAGCCTGATACATGTTGAACAGTGTAAGAAAATTCTTTAATGCAAACCGCCATAACAATTGACTCATTAAACCACGTGACTTTAAGAGCGACAATATTTTATTATCAATACCTTGATCTTTTTTTTTCCTTATATCTCTTATTTTTTTTGTCGACTTATTTTTGTACTACAAATATTTATTAACTTCTTTTTAACCTCGTTCAGTTTTCTCGGGCAGTACTGAGAAAACTTGGCTCTAGATCGTTCTTGTACGGGCCGAGCTGAACTTGGTTCGTACAAAAACGACCCAGGCCCACTATTCTTTAGTACAGCTCAGCAAGCGAGGTTAAAAGGTGTTTATGACTAACCGAAGACTGACCGAATTACATGGCACTCGAAGACTGACTCGAAGTCTGACCGAAGATTGACCGAATTACATGGCACTCGGGCTAAACTTGCCGATTATGAATTTACCCACTTGCGATAGCAAAACTTCGGGGCTTTTAATCGTTTCCGTGGAAGCGGTCCATATGGCAAAATCCTGACCAGGTAAGAACCAATCAGAAGGCAAGGATTTACCTCAAGACTACCTTGCCATATAACAACTTACCTTTATATTGGTTGAAACACTCTTGATATTTGCCTGACTCTCAATTTCCACTAAAGAATAAATGAAAAGGTGATCGTACAAATGTTCTAAGGACTTCCCCTTATCGTAAATCTTGCGCTGGACTAGCAGAGGGGGGTTTGGGTTTTAGTCCTGACAGGGTCATTGTGTTTCGTTTTTCTGGCGAAATTCGACTGAGTAAGGTAAGGCCTAGTTCAAACGTCGATCTTTACATGTACCGAACCTAATTGCAATTTGGGTCGACTCGAATAATTAAGAGCGGCAGTTGATTCAAACGTCGATCCGAATTTAGTCGATCCTAATTGCAAAACTGAACATAACTCCATTGTAGTCAGCGGTTAATGCCTACCAAAAGGGCGGAAAAAAATGCGGGAAGCACAACTTGTGGAAATGAAGAGCTTGTTTTTCTTGCAAATGCGATTAAGGAGGGTAGAAAAAGGCGACTCAAGATGCAGTTAGCATTAAACAACCTTGCTGCCAGGAGAAGACGAGTTTTGAATTTGGCTTGCCTTCTATTATTGCTTATTTCCCAAAGGAACATCAAAATACAAAAGTACTCCTTACACGTAAGACAGGTATATTTTGTGGTTTTAAAACAAGAGGAGCACGAGCCTTCCTCCTTTCCCGCCATATTGTTTGAATGGTTCGAAGGCTTTCGCGCATGGCACGTAAGCGAACTTTCTTGAATTGTGGGTAAAACATAATTATTTTAACGTATGTATAATGTATGCATTAAGTTCGGTACATGTAAAGTACGACGTATGAATCAATGCCGATCTTTTACCGTTCTATCCGACTAGCCGAGTCAGTCGATCCGAATACAAATCTGCCGATCCTAATTGATTCAAACGTCGATCTTTACATGTACTTAATAGAAACGTTAGGTTCGGTACATGTAAAGATCGACGTTTGAACTAGGCCTAAGAACCAAAACCAAAGTAATCTCAACAGCCAATCAACGGAAAGGTAAATATCACAACGAGCCAATGAAAACACTGAGTAAAAACAAGCAAACTTCTTAAAACACAGGAAAACACTTGTTACCAAGTCGCGATTGAATTTAGTTTTGAATCTTATTTGTTAAGAGGATTACCTTGGACACACCTGATTTCCTCTCACAGTGCAGTCCATCCACGAGTATGGGTGTGTGCCAGCAAACTGTCAGGAAACCTAACAAAATTTTGCGGGTAACCTGCGCTTGAGCCTGCGATACACTAGTATCCCATCAGTCCAAGGGAGGAAGCTGCAATACAAATTGTGTCTTGCTAAAGGCCTATTTACACGGTACGACTTTGTCGCATGCGACAAGCTTACGACAGGCCTACGACACGAATTGTATCGTGTAAATCAAACCTACCACTCGCTTACGACTGTCGTGCACGTCACGAAAAATGTCGTAGGATTTTAAAACATGTTTTAAAACGCTGCGACAATCGTAGCCGAAATTGATGGAAAATGACGTATTTTGTGACAAATTTCTACTGAGTAGGGGAGGAAGGTGAAATTTTCTTGCGTCAAAATGGCAGAGGAAGTCGCCTCCGGAAAGTCGAAGACTGCTTCCAAAGCGAAAAATACATTCTCAGATGAGGAAACAGAGAATATGATATCACTGTGGAGCGAGGAAGAGGTTCTTTTCCTTCTCTTGCAAATTATTGAAACAATGACCGCGGCCGAAACGAGTGGAATTGCACGCGATTTTGGCATGTCGTAGGTGAAAATGTCGTGCGCGTGTAAATTGTCCTAAGTCATGTCGTAGGCCTGTCGTAAGCTTGTCGCATGGGACAAAGTCGTACCGTGTAAATAGGCCTTAAGAAAACCACGATAAGCACGAGGAGCTTAACCAATAATTCTGGATCAATATCAGTATCTGGGCAACTGCCTACCTACCCCTCCCCTAACTCAACAACAGTCAATTGATAACAAGTTAGGCTTAACATCGGGTTAGGGGAGGGGTAGGTGGGCGTGTATTTATTACAATTTCTTTCCGTCTTTTCCTCTAGACCTCTAGAAAAGCGTCATAAACAGAGCTGAAAATAATCTTCAAATCAAGAAATGCAAAGGAGGAATAAAGGGTAACATCCCAAACAGTATGTTCAACGTTTAGTTTGACAACGAATTAAGTCAGCTGGTCTCACAAGTCTGTTGTCTACGAAACTTCTAACCCTGGGTTTGGCGAATGTTTACACCTGAATTCAAAACAAAACTATTAAAATGATTTCCACCAGTAAATGTTTGAGCCAAAGTTTTTCTTTACTGAACACATTTAATTCAACCAAATAAAACTACAGAGAAAAAATCTCACAATACAAATTGTCAACAGAATGCACAGTGAGATCCAGGTAAAAGTAGAGATATATTCAGACGAAGCAGTTTCATTTCGGAACGCAACGAGTGAGAACTGAAAATCATCTGTAAAAGGAACGAAGGAAAACTGAAGTAAATGCCACTTCGTGGTTTTATTGGATTTCGAAAAACGTTTTTGTCAAGGGCTGTTCAAATGTGGTGCATGCGCGCTTAAAGTGCGCATGCGCATTTGTTCTTTTTCTTCTAAAATTCTTTTTGTAAGTAACATCTATTCAAATGTGGTGAATTTTCCCACTAAAAGACTTAGAACGTCATAAATAAACTTGATATCTATTCCCTTGTCGTCTTGTATTATGATCTGCTGTTAGACAAGTCAATAACAGCAAAGTGATAGTCGTTTTAGAGTCATCTTTTATTGTCGTGCAATATCTACTCAACAATCCACACGTGTTTCGTTTAACAAATCATAACATTTATTTTAATTCAATTTAACTGTTAGTTAATTTTTAATGGTAATAGGACCGAGTGGAGTTCAACTCGGTCTGTAATCGTACGAGTGATAAAAAAAATCGGACGACCGCGAAGCGGGAGTCCGATTTATTTATCACGATTATGATTACTGACAGAATTGAGCGACAAGAAATCCTGTTACCAATTAATCATGACCATTTCAATTTCCGAAAAAACAAATACACCTAGAACAAATATCTCCAAATATCTAAAGACAATGTCTTTAGTTAAATTGTAGTGTATTGCGTTACCTAAGCGTTACTATAGTCACGCTATATCCTGTAAGACACGATCGGTACATGATTGTAAAAGTACATTCCTATGTAAAAGTAGTATTACTGATTCCTAGTACTGTATTGTGAGTATAGCTTGTTGATTCTTTAATAAAATTCAGTTGAGCAATAGCAATGAAAGAAGTAACTTGATTGAGTCTAGACGACACAACATACTGGCGACGAGGATTAAAAGCCAATAACGTACTCCTTGAAATGGAACGGACGGGACTTTCTACGCCACAGCCGTTCAATATCGACGCAGCCGACTTGTACTGCGAATGGCAGCACTGGGTGAGTTCCTTTGATATATACTCAGTGGCTTCCGAGCTCTCCGACAAGGACGACAAAGTCCAGCGAGCAACCTTCCTGCACTGCCTTGGGCCCGCTGTGCAAAGGATCTTCAGAACCCTGCCTGGCGAACATAAAAAACTTGAAGATGCGAAACTAGCTCTTCAAAACTACTTTGCGCCAAAACGAAACGTGGTGTCTGAAAGGTACAAGTTCCGATCCAGGGAACAGAGGCCAGACGAGCCGATAGATAGCTACCTTACAGCACTCAGAGAACTTGCGAAATCGTGCGAGTTTGGCACACTCGAAGAAGAGATGATAAGGGACCAGATCGTTGAAAAGTGTGCGTCGAAAAGCCTTCGACAAAAGTTACTGACTCAAGACGATCTGGACCTGACGAAAACGATGAAAGTGGCCAGGAGCGAAGAATCGTCAAGGAAAGATGCCAGCATGATTACAAAGGGCACCAAGGAAGACCCCATACCAGTCGACAAAGTCAACGCCAAAAAGCCTACCGATGGAGCGGACGAAAAAAGGTTCATCTGTTACAGATGTGGCGGATTGGATGGTCACAGTCCTAACGAATGCGGTGCGATCAACTCGAGATGCAATTTCTGCAAGAAAGTGGGTCATCTTGCCCGGGTCTGCAAATCAAGCAAGCAAGATCAGAAAGCAAACCGGAAACAAGGGAAAAAGTCACGAAAGAACCCCAAGAAGACGGACAAGAAAGTTCGAAACCTCAAAGCGGCAGAATGGTTCAGTGAGGAAAGCACGGACGAGAATGAGCCTGTATTCTCAATGAACAATGAGGACAATTCAGTCCACGTGAAAATGGACGGACAAAAGATCCGCATGATAGTAGACACCGGATGTAAGTACAATATTATCTCGTCACAATTGTTCAATGCTAAATTTAAGTCTCATGAACTCAGACCAAGCAAAAAGCGATTTATTGCTTATGGACAGAAAGATCCATTAAATTGCAAAGGCTATTTTACTGCCACTATCAAAGTAGGAAAGAAAGAAATAAGAGCAAATGTATATGTTATACAAGGGCATTCAGAGTCACTCCTTGGGAGGGATTCAAGTTTCAATTTAGAGATAATTAGTGTAAACCTCGTTCAAGACAAGCCAAGTTTTCCTAAGACTAGTGAAAATAGTGAATTAGATTCTTTACTACGTGAATTTGACGAAATATTTCATGGGATAGGTAAAGTGGCCAACTTTGAGCACAAAATTGCCGTTGACTCTAGCGTCAAACCTGTTAGTCAACGATTAAGGCGTATACCATTTAGCCAAATTGAAGCAGTTAACAACGAGCTAGACAAGATGCTCGAAAATGACATCATTGAGGAGGTCACAGAGGCCAGCCCATGGGTCTCTAATTTAGTAATCGTCCCAAAGAAATCGGGGGAAATAAGAGTGTGTTGTGACCTCAGGGAAGTAAATAAGGCTGTAATTAGGGAACGACACCTATTACCTAAGGTAGATGACACTTTGCAAGCTATGCACGGTTCGAAGTATTTTGCTAAAATCGATGCGAAGAGTGGTTTTTTTCAGCTTACGCTAGCTGAAGAGTCGCGGTACATCACTACCTTCATCACGCCTCGTGGTTGTTTTAGGTTTAAGCGTACTCCCTTCGGTCTTAGTGATGCAAGCGAAGCTTTCCAAAAGATGATGGAACAAATTTTGTTCGGAATCGACGGAGTTCAAATCTCTATCGACGATGTCATCGTGCACGCTGTGACATTGGAAGAACTCATTAACCGGCTCCGTAAAGTTTTCGAGAGATGTCGTGCGAACAACTTAAGGCTAAATCAAAGCAAGTGTGAATTCGGCGTTACCAAGATTTCGGTGTTAGGCCATGTAGTATCTGCCGATGGTATTAAGCCGGATCCGAAAAAGTGCGAAGCAATAAAAGCTACACCACCGCCAAAGAATGTATCAGATCTTAGGTCATTTCTTGGAACGTGCGGTTATGTTTCCAAATTCATACCGAATTACGCGAACATCGTGGAACCTTTGCGAAAGTTAACTCGGAGCGAAGTAAAATTTTCGTGGGGAAAGGAGCAAAAAGAGGCATTCAAAGCCCTTAAGGAAGCGTTGTCTTGCGAGCCCGTTCTCGCATGCTTTCGCTTAAACTCTCCTACGTATTTGATCACCGATGCTAGTCCAGTAGGTTTAGGAGCAATCCTGCTTCAAGACCAAACTAACGGCGAGCGAAAACCAATCGCCTACATAAGTCGATCACTTACGCCTACCGAACGAAGATATTCGCAAATCGAACGCGAAGCGCTTGGATGCGTATGGGCAGTCGAACGCCTGCACAATTATTTGTTCGGAATCAATTTTACGCTACTTACTGACAACAAACCTCTGTCCAGCATGTTTGATCCGCAGTCCAACAAAGTCCTGCCACCGCGAATTCAACGTTTGGCCTGGAGATTGCATCAGTACAATTTCCATATACAACACGTATCGGGAAAGGACAACACTGCAGATTCACTGTCTCGACTTCCTTCGAAGTGTGAAAACTACACCGATAGCGGAACTGTTTGCGAGAATTATGTTAGGTTTGTTTATGACACCAACATGTTAGACCTGCAAGCTGTCACTCTTGCCGAGATGAGCCGCGAAACACGCAGAGATGACACTTTGTCCAAATTAATCGAGCATATTCAAGATTGCAAGTGGTCGCGCGACGAAAAACTGAAACCGTTTAAAGCAGTTAAGGATGAATTATCTGTTTATGAAGGAGTTATTCTCAGAGGAAATCGAATTGTTGTTCCTTCGTCACTGCAAAAGAAAATTCTTAAGCTCTCGCATGAGACGCACCAGGGAATTGTCAAAACTAAACAGTTTCTCAGGTCACGATTCTTTTGTCTTACCGAGCGACTCCTCATCCTGTTAGTGGGAAATCACCCACTATGTTGTTGTTCAATCGAGAAATTCGTATGAAAGTTCCACATGTCGAGTCAAATCAGACCAGCCAAAATGACGACGAGCTTCGTTCTCGATGTCACAAATATCAAGAGCGCATGAAAGATTATCACGACAAGAAAAATAACGCAACGCCGCACAACTTTAAAATCGGCGATATCGTATTTTGCGCAAACATGAAGCCAGCAAAGTTAGATTCTCAATTTCACCCGGCTAAGCATGTTATCATTCAGTCCCGGGGGAGAGACACTTTTACCTTGGTCAACGCAGCAACTGGTACCACTCTTATTCGAAATGCAAAATACTTGAAGCGCGCACCCACAAATGAGAATGAAGAAATCGTAGATACTAGCAACGACGAACAAAGTAATGGGTCTAGTAGTTCTAGTGATTCAGCGAATGTTGAATCTAGTGAGATCATTCACAAACATTCTGATGCTCGTATGGAAAGTGATCATTCCGATGATCAAGCCTCTCAGAATAAAGGCAATGTCACGACTAGGTCCGGACGTGTAGTGAAGTCTACACAAGATAACGAGAACTTCGTATATTATTAACTGATTAAAATAGGTTAAAATGATTATCTTTAATTAACTTTGAAATAGAAACCTTTGAACTTTGTCCGGGAAGGATGTAGTGTATTGCGTTACCTAAGCGTTACTATAGTCACGCTATATCCTGTAAGACACGATCGGTACATGATTGTAAAAGTACATTCCTATGTAAAAGTAGTATTACTGATTCCTAGTACTGTATTGTGAATATAGCTTGTTGATTCTTTAATAAAATTCAGTTGAGCAATAGCAATGAAAGAAGTAACTTGATTGAGTCTAGACGACACAACATAAATATTCTTCCATTTTGGAAATTGCCCTAAAACTGAAGCAATGATACTAAGTAAAACCTCTTTTGTTGGGCCTATACCTCCCCTCCACTTTAACACTGGCCATATCGACCTGGTTAATTACACCACTTGTCTTGGAGTTAAAATTGACAATAAGCTGACATGGTCTGTGCACATTGACTCAGTGAAGAAATCTTTTACGCAGAAGGTTGGAGCGTTGAAGAGAATGAGAATCCTTCCGAAGAAGGTTCTCGAGGAAATATACTTTAAAACAATTATCCCCAGTGTAACGTATGGAATTTCGGTATGGGGAAATTGTTCTCCTTCCGCACTGAACTCTCTAAACCATATTCATGCAAGAGCAGCTCGTATTGTGAATAACCTCGACTCAACGATGGCAGATGACACATGTCTCATGAAATCCGACTGGCTGCCCATCTCTTACTTCTATAAAAAATCTGTACTGTTTCTCTTGCACAAAGTATATTTTGGAACAACGACCCAGTCGATATGTGAACTGTTTTCTAAAAGAGTTTCTTCTAGATCTTCTCGTGTTCCTAACCAATTTAATGTCATTAGATTTAGATCAGAGACCGGCAGGAACTCCCTACGATACAGAGGTCCTGTTATTTGGAATTTTGTAAATAGATTAGTTAAAGTACCTGAAAGTTTTTATTCTTTTAAACAAATTTTACGTAAACATGTTAAGACTATTGACAATTTTTCATTTGAGAAAGAGGCAACAGTAGTTGCCAACAGAAAGGACCATTTCATTTACTTTTAGATTTATATGTTAGTCTTAGTGAACACCATTTTATTTGTATATAGTAGTTCTAAGTTATTATTGCAATTTTTATATATATGTAATTCTTAATATTTAGTATAGTTTTCACTCACGTGACCAATTCCTTGACTACCGTTGCTACGCCGCCATATTGGTGTACCTCAATTGTAAACAAACTAGTAGCGTCCTTCGCGTGGAACATGGTTTTGTGTCTGATCGTTGGCTGTGGCAGCAAAAGTGGACGAGATAAAGGGTTGTACTTTGCAAGGGTGCCTTCTGTGGTCACAAATCAAGGCGAAGAGGCACAGAAACTATCCGAAGAAAGAAGATCGCGCTGGGTTTCAGCGATAAGCAGTGACGATCTGACCGAAGAGATCTTAGAAAACGATCGTGTGTGCGAAAAGCATTTTGTTTCAGGACGGGCAGCTAAGAGCTGGGATAAATTTAATATTGACTGGGTTCCGACATTGCTTTTGCGACACAAGAAAGCGTCTGATCGAGCAGATCATAAAGAAGCGGCGGCAAAACGAAGCGAGAGAGCGAGGGAACGTGAACTGGTGAAGAAGCCGGCTTTTGAAAAGAGAGAACGAGAGCTAGAACTAGAGCGAACGGCGAAGAGACAGAAACTTAATGAGCCCGGTGAACAGGTTTCAAACCTCAGCTTTGAAGGAAATGAGGACGAAGAGAAAAAATTAACAGTTGAAGCTGGCACACAAACTGAAGAGTTTGAATATTTATTCAGCTCTCTAAACATTGACCGGAAACCATTTTGATCGGTGGGAATTTGTACAAAACGAAGAAAAAGTTAAATTCTACACTGGATTGCCTTCCTTCGATATCCTGCAAAATGTTTTCGAACATGTTTCTCCGTTTGTTGCTTACAAGTCCCAGAATCTGACCACATTTCAAGAGTTTGTCATGACTTTGATAAAACTTAAACTTGACGCACCACATCAAGATCTTTCATATCGCTTTAATGTCTCCCTTTCAACAGTTTCAAGGATTTTTTCATCCTGGATGGTAGCGTTAGATGTACGCCTGGCTCCACTTATCAACTGGCCTGAACGTGAGGATTTATGGCGAACTATGCCACAGTGTTTTAAATATTCATTTGGAAACAAAACTACCGCGATTATTGATTGTTTCGAAGTATTTATTAATAGACCATCAAATCTGCTCGCAAGAGCACAGACATGGTCATCGTACAAACACCATAACACTGTTAAGGTGCTGATTGGGATAACTCCACAAGGTACAATCTCCTATGTTTCCCAAGCTTGGGGAGGACGAACATCAGACAAATATTTAACTGAGAACTGTGGAATTTTAAATAAGTTGTTGCCTGGGGATCTGGTCTTGGCTGACCGTGGTTTCACCATCGCAGAGAGTTACCCTTCGCTTGTGCGACAGTATCTCTCTCAACTTGTAAGATTTGTTCTTTTGTAATCTCAATATCTACCTCTTGACAAGCTTTTAATAACTCAGGATAACTCAGAGCGAGGTACCTCTTATTAAACAGATCGCTAATTGTAGGTACGCAGCGACTTTTGAGGATATAGCTGTCTGCATACTCGGGTATTAAGCTTAGAGCGATGGGCTTGCTACTAGACTTACTAAGTTTAGCATAAAAGGTATCCATTTCCGGTTTTGAGGGAACAGAAAAAAAAATTAAACTGGACTTTTAAACACTTTGGTGTGAATGGGGCATAAGTTTAGCATAAAAGGTATCCATTTCCGGTTTTGAGGGAACAGGGATCACCTTTGACACGTTTCCTTTAGCAGAGTTATCAGGGCTGGAAACATTGGAGAGGTTCTCAATCTTGGCATCTAAATCGTTTTTTATTTTCCTTGCGGATGTAAAGTTTATTTCTCGCACCTTTTCATATTCTACTTGTTTGACGTAGGTAGGTAAAAGCCACGAGCACTTCACTTGCGTGCAGGCAAGTCTGCCATTTATTTTTGTCCACGCTTCCAGATAAAATAGCACGTTTGCTATATGCGAACAGGTTTCTGCCAAGCCAGCCTTGCAACCTAAGCAGTGTGCAAACAAAATTGTTCCTTCTCTTTCCGTGATAACCCAACATGAAATAAGAGAGTCGTTCATACGTTGGGAGTGTCTCACCTTTGCTAAAACAAGAAACTTGTCGGCGATTATGTGGCCTTGCACGCTTGCGATAAAACCAGAGACCATTTGGTTATATGCTTCAAGGCTTCGGAAAGCTTTAAACTGTTTCTGAGTGAGGAAACTTGTCTCCAAGACAAGATAACACAAAATATCTGTGGATTCAACAGGAGGCAAACAGTCCGGCTTAAAGTCCTTCCCTTCGACTAAAACTGGATCAATTCCAATTGCCGCTATTTTCTGTAAATATCGATCTCTGACTGGAAAATCCAGCTGCTTCGCGTATTCGGATATCGGAAATGAATAGTCGACCCCGCTTTTGTTCTGGGGCTCTTTTTCTTACTCTTTTGAATCCATTTTACTTGTGGGAATGATAATTGTGGAAAAATTACGGGGATTACGCAATCGAAAGTGGTACACCAATATGGCCGACCGGAAATGATGTGACGTCACGTGAAAATATGAAATGTAAATAACGTGACATTCGGTCTAACAAGCATTTCGGACTTCGGTTTCGATGATCGACAAACTGGTTTCCCGCTGATTAACTGAAAAAGATTTAACGCAATGAAGCTTTGTTTATTTGGAGGCTTCTAGAATCTAACTAATTACAGCGGTACAGATCTGACAAGCTCTAGTAGTAGCTCTGACGGTCAAATAGTACTGGTAATAGTGGTATTAATCAGGGCGTGAAATTGCGCCTAAAACAGGCGCCAATGCGACTAAATTTTCACTTTGGCGACCAAATCCTGAAAATTAGTCGCCAAATTGGCGACTAGAATGTTCTATCATAACCTTACCTAGAGATATAGTGAATTAAAAAGATTTGCAAAGACAAATCCGCGGCAAACTTCCTCGTAACTAGACGCCATCTTGGATTTAGGTGAGCTTAAACATTGCATATCATCCATCCTAATATCACCTTTGTAGCACGTTAAAGATCTTTTCCCTAACTTAATTTCTAGAACGATGACAGCGTAAAAAAAAAGGTTTTGTTTGTCTTTCAAAAGGGCGCCAACTTTTTTTGAATTGGCTACCACTTTGATGAATTTAGGAGCCAAGAGGCTATCAGAAAAAAAATTAATTTTACGCCCTGTATTTCTCCAGATTACTTTCTAACTTCGCGGGTGCCTTTCGAGAAAAATTCTTACATTTCGTGTTTCCGCGCGACATGGAGACATAGCTTCTAGCTAGGGTCATGTCGAGCTTCCTCTTAACTATATCAGAATTTATATATATATATAGATATATATATATAAATGACTACA